AAGGGACCTCTATAACATTTTTTGAAGCAACAAAGTTATTATTGTGATTCTAAGAAGAAAATCTTTCCTTTGAACGCGTTTTATTTTATTACATTTGAACAAGGTTTTTTGGTTATGAGTTCAACCATCAAGACATCTCTTAGGCACAAAAACAGTATTCAAAAGTGGGGAACCGTAACTACTCCGTTGAAACGGAGGAGTTAGAGGTCAATCAAGGAAAGTCATAGATTGTGTGAACCAAACGTTCTACATAGTTTAGAATAAGTAATACGTTCGTCTTACCAGTTCAACTGGTATAGAAACAGAGCTCCATAACCAAATCAGTTCTGAGACATCCAAATAGGAGACAATTCTTCGTCGAACTTTAAATATGAATCTTATCTTGGCTTCTAGAAACTTATTTTTTCTAGGTAGCTTGTTTTAAAGCTCTCCCCAATATCAGTTTTAATTATTTATATAATTATTGTAATAATTTAGTTATAATTATTTGATACAATTATGTTTACAGATGAAATAAAACGTGTGAATGGGCAAGAAAATGGAAACTCTTTTGCTGGTATGGAGCTTATGGGTTGTTACAACCCCGTCATTGCATCCCACTTGGAAGATGTAAGACACCATCAACAAGAGAGCTCCAGAACAATTTCCTATTTTCTCTCTTTATCGTCTCAAAATAAGGTCACTAGAGAATGTGGTAGTGTCATCCAAAAAGCAGCTGTCGAAAAAATCCAGGATGTTATCTACTTTACAATCATAGTCAATGGTACATCTTAAAATGAGCAGATAACCTTAGTTATTTGTTTTCTTCTCTATTAAAGAGAAACAAATTGCTGGAAAATCAAAGAATAATTCTTGTGTGTTGAAGCTTTCAGAAGAAAAAGAAGAAGAAGAAGAAGAAGAAGAAGAAGAAGAAGAAGAAGAAGAAGAGGAAGAAGAAGAAAGGAGTTGATGTAGCACTAGTGTAATTGCAAAGCTAGGTTTTGTATTCAAAATTGTCGCAGTTAAGGATAATATAATGGATCCAATATATTAGGTGTTTACAAGGGAGCTCAAGCCTTAATAAAGCAAAATTGTTTAGAAGCTTTGTTAGTACCTATTGCGCTCACAGTCTGAATTAGGCTGGTATGCACGCAGTTGAATCAGCCATTGAGATAAAAGTATTCTTTGGAAATGTAAAATATTTGTACGTAGTTTTAAGTGTAAGTTCTGCCTGATGGAAGTTCCTCAATGAAGTGACACCAATTTTACTGCATAAACTTTTTATGAAAAGATGGGGCTCTCGTACCAATGCAATCAAAGGACTTCCAAGAGGCCAAGAGAAATATTAGCAGCTCTTAAACTTCTCATAGAAAACCTGAATGTGACCAGTGAGGAGCTTAGATACGCAAAAGTCTTTAGAAAAATGGTCTTTTGAATTTGTATTACTAATTATAATTTGGTACAAAACCCTTACAGCTTTTAACGGCGTTAGTTATTTTCTACAATATGTAGCCAAAATCACCGATGAAGAGCTACGTTTAATTAGACAGCTGTTAAAAGATTTTAAAGGGATTAAGGCTTTGTGGTTTCAAATTTTATAAGAAGCTGTAGCTGTAGCTGTAGCTGGGACTCTAGGATTACAAACTGAACTTGCTACTAAAAGTAGCATAAACTAGCATAAGCGTAAACTGAATCGTTTTCACTATAAGACATCCATTTCACAACTGCTAAACAAAAGAACTAATGTCGCTTTAGATAGTTTGATTTAGCAGGTTGATTCAAGATTTGAGGCAAGATTTTGTGGATGGTTGGCAGCATATTTTTATTCTTCTTTTTGAATAATGATGGTCTCTCTGTTCAAAATAAAGCTTGCGAACTTGCACGGTTATATCCAAGAAATGTGAACAAAAAAAATATTAGAGAAAATAAAAAGAATCTTCTTCCAAAGACGTTCGCTGTTTTAACAATGTTTACAAAAAAATTTTTAGCCACGGAAATCCACTGCAGCTACTTAATCAAATCTTCGAAAAGAAACTTTAACACCTTTTTCCGTACATTTGCACCATGCTCCTGATTTTCATCACTATTCCTATGTCAATTGCTGAAGGTGAAAGATTGTTTAGTAAACTAAAGGTTATAAAAAATTCTCTCTGTTAAGCAAGCATGAAAAGCTCGAAAAATATATTTTTAAGCGCATTATTAATCTTTCTTAAAGATTTTGTTGATTGACTTTTTGTTAATTGGTTTTAAAAATAATATTTTGATTTCTATGTCAGTTTTGATTAACGAAACGTTTCTCAATCCAGGGAATTAATGTTAAAACAGAAATGCAAAGTGCTGTATCAGAAAAAGGTAGTTGCTGCGTTCATAACGCTTTAAATTTTGAAATTTCTTAATTTGAAATAAGTGCGTTGTTCTCCATTTTTGACCCTGGCGCCATTGACGCTCTCGAAGGCCCTCGATATACGAAAAAATATCTCCCGTATGTATACGGGAGATACTTACCTACTAAGTCTTTCTTGTTTTCCATAAATACATTGGATCAATTAAATTTAAAGCTTTTAGTTTTTCCGTAAATGATTGTTTATTTTTTTTTTTCTGTTCTTCTACATTTAATATTGTTCATTGCAGTTAATGCTCTAACAACAAGTTTGATTTTATGTCCAGCTGTACTTAACCCACGAGCAGCTAAAAACCTAACAATCTGCTTGACAAGTAAATTTAAAAAAACTTCGTAATCATCCTTTTTCAAATTTAAAAAATCTTCGTAAGAATCTTTTTTTTTTTTTTGCATCTTCTTTTGATTTAAATGATTCACTCATTTTAATAAGATTGCTTTATTCGTGGATTCATGATAAAAATATCAAAAATTTTGATATTTTTATTATGAATACCCTTGAACTTTAAAAACACTTTGTTTAAATGTTGTTGTTATATGAAATGCGTCAGAGAGAATCGATCAGAGCAGCTAATCAGACGTCAGAGATGCGTCAAATTGGCTTAAAGGAGTTATCACTCTTTGGCATAAAAGTTAATTTGGTTTTAACGCGTTAAAGCGTAAAAAATTGCAATTTTTAATATAATTTAAACTTTTTTTTAAACAAAACTAATTTTTCTAATGAACTTTTTGCCTCAAAGTTTTTTAGGATTATTTATTTTAGTTTTATAAATTTTGTTATTTTTTGTAACTTTTTCCAAAAGCGGTCCGGAAAAAATGCTTTATACATAGTTGGCTAAATCCAGACGTTTTTTAGATTCTCGGTGTAGTTAAGGCGATTTACAAAACACTCAATTTCTTTTATTTGGAATTAGCATGATTTTATCAGCGTATTTTGTCCAAACAAGAGCTTTAGATGTTATAATTTTTTTTGCATCAGATTTTTTTGTTTTTTAAAGAAACTTTTCTTTTTTATATACAATTTTCAAAACCTTTTTACTACTCCTAATAGTGAATCTAAAGAACACCATTTTGGAATCTTTAGATCACTTTTGCTCATCGGCGTTAACATAAACTTAGTAGAAATCTTTTGAAAAGTGGCTTAACCAACTCTAGATCTTAGTTTTAACCGGTTCTGACGTATAATAACTATATAGTTCGTCCCCTCAGTATTATCTTGTTCTATCTACAAATATAATATGTAAAATAAATACAAATATATATATATATATATATATATATATATATATATACATATATATATATATATATATATATATATATATATATATATATATATATATATATATATATATATATATATATATATATATATATATATATATATATATATATAAACAAATACAATGTTCTATGTAATATAGTATATTATATCAGGTAAAACATTGTATTTATTTATAATTTTTTTTTTGTATTTATTTTATACATTAGATACAACATTTTGTTTGTCAGGGGACGAGTTGTCAAAATACAATATTACAAAAATGCTAGAATTCCGACCAAGAAAAAGCTTATAATTAAGAAAAAATTGCTAATAAACGATCAGAACAGATCATATTATTAAACTATGATGTTCATTTCACCAAAAAAAGTTATTTATTTAAAATCTTATTCAAATTTGGAAAAGTGATTGTGATTTTAAGGAGATTTTCGCTACAAACAATTATATTTTATGATACCGCAAAATTTATCATTTTAATTTTTTTCGTTTTTTCATAATTCACAGACCTGAAAGAAAATATGTCGAAGTCAACAAAATATCATACAGACGCTATAATATTTTAAAATTGCCTTAACTACACCGAGCTTAAGGTTTATGCGTCACTTCAGTACAAAAACGGGGTTAAATAAAAAATGACTTTTTAAGTACAGGGTATATCGGCACTAAGATTTTGTATTTAAGTATCACGTAATTTTGGATATTCTGCGGAATTTCCATTATATTTTTGGTAAAAACTATTTTTGGTAAAAAAATATTTTTGGTAAAAACTAAAAATAGAAGAAATATAATAAAAATGTTAGGGAAAAAATGCTTGGAAAAAGTCAATAAAATATTTAACTGGTAATTGTAATTTTTCTAGAAAAAGTTTTTTTTATAAACAAGCGTTTTAATTTTCGTTTATTTCATTTTTTCTGAAGCGAATTCTATTTAAACAAATTGCAAATTTAATTTGTAATTTGGCGAACAAATATTCGTTAAAGAAATATTTGTTCGCCAAATATTTGTTTAACGAATAATTGTTAAGCTCGTTAAATATGTTTAATCTCGATAAAATCGTTTTTTTGTTTAACGAATACTCGTTAAACAAATTATGATTATACTAACTAATTAAAATACGAGCCATTTAAAAAATACAATTTACAAAAAAAAAAACGTGTTTTTTTCTAAATAAGTTCTCTAATAAAAAAAACAAACTTTTTTTTTTAAAAAAGTTGGTATTATAATTAAAAAATTTAGCTCAAATCACTGACGTCATACGTACACATATATTAAAGTATACGTTACTCTTGCGTATACGAACGTAAATAAATGCTATCCTAGAGAGATAATATCATTCTAAAATGTGTTTTTTTAATTTGTAAAATCTTTTTTTTTTTTTTTCTTCCTATATTCTGCTGATTAATGAAGCGACGTGAAATTCGGTATTTATTCTTGTTAATAATATCTTTTTTGGTATAATTTTAATATTAAAATGCATAGTATCAACCAATTGACAAATTTTATTTGATTAGATATAGTTATATATGGCTAGACATATTTATGTAATATTAAATGCCAATTAATGTTTGATTGAGTGATATCTTGCATGATTTTTACCATCTTTATAGATATTTTTTATATAATTTGTTAATCTTCTACCAACATTAATCTTACAATAAAATCAAAAAAGAGGATACATGAATAGACCCAGAAAAAGAAAAAAAAGGTAAGGTAACAATTTAATTTCATGATGCAACTGAAATATTTCTATTTCATAAGGTGATCGCGTAGGGGAAAGCGGGGCAACATGGCGAATGGGGCAAGATGGGTTTTCATATAACAACTCAATAAAAAATCTTAAAAATGGGTGAAAATGAAACTGTATTTGCATTTTGTATTTTAAAATACCAATTTATTTTTTGAAATATTATTAACGCAATTTTATACGCATAAGTTTACTTTTTGCGCCTAAAAAAAAATTCTTTACTTTCGGTTTCTCATAACGGATGGTGTCCTTCAAGTTTAACTTCTTTAGAAGTAGTTTTTGGTGATTTGTATTTATTTTTCGTTACTTTAGTTAGAGTTATTGGTTGTTTTTAAAATTTTATAAAATTGGAGATAAAAATTGAATAATAAGTCATCTTGCCCCGGTCACGTGACCAGATGACAAATTTATGAACTTTTTATTTTAATATTTATTTCAAATTGTTATATTTGCAAACGGAAAATTTATGCAGGGAATAAATCGTTTTAATAACATAAACATACTCAGAAAGTATTATTGCTTAACAACTGATAGTTTTGCAATAACTCAGGCCTTTCAAAACGTTCGCCATGTTGCCCCGCTTTCCCCTATTTAGAAGAAATTTATAAATTTAATATTGTATATAAACTATAAACAACATTAAATTATTTCAACAGTTTTACACAATATTATATACAACATTAAAATTATATGCAGTACAATAATATTGCTAAATAAATTAGTAAAATATTTAAAATAACAAATTATTAAAGGCTAAATTGATAATCTTATTATAAAGTGAATAACCAGGAATAAATGGACAATTGTTTTAGTCATTAAACTCATAGTTTATTAATTTACTTATTGGGTAGACCGAAGCTAACTCGGGTCTCCATTAATGTTCTTTCTCGAATGTGATTAGCTTTTATGTTACACCAATAACTATTATGTTATTGAGCTTTTATGTTACACTAAATAATATAATAAGATCTATTTTTAGTTTGCTGGAATTAGATGGTACTAGCGACAAACCAGTTTCATAAAACCAGTTTCATCAAGATTGGGAGTAACCTGTCCTCTATTTTAAAAAAATTTCTCAATTGATTACTTATTAATAGCTTCTACACGTGATGTAGACAATTCAATAGAAGATGTTTACACTTGAAAGCCAAAAACATGTTATACAATCTCAAATGTGATTTATGCCGGGTAGAAGGTCATTTTGAAGTAATTGGCGGCTATGTATTTTTTTGGCGTATAAATAAGCATTCTATTTAAACCATTTTGTTGTTAATGGAAATCCACTAGGGAAATCCACAACAACACCGGGGGGCTGAAAGGGCACGTGTCCCTTTTTTTCTGAAGAACCTTTTTTTTGTTAGAAAATTGTAGAAATAGAGGACTCTTTTATAAATTGACGATTGTGCTTCTCCACTTCAAAACCCGTGTCGTCGGCCATAAAATCCACAATCTGACACGTTTAAAAGGCTGTTTGCCAGTACTTTGCAAACAATATTTTTAGTCCAACTGGACCATATGATTGGCTTTTATTTATCTAATCTTTCAGCATTGATCTCCATTTTTTTTTCCACTGTTAATGTTTTACAATCACCTTTAACAGCTTGAATAACCAATATAAAGTTGGTATCATTATACAATTTTATTTCTTTTTTTATAGTAACACATAAATGCAATGTACTGTATCAGAAATAGATAAGAGGAGAAGGAAGGATATATTTTCTTATTTTCTAAAACATAAGCAATCTAACCGTTTAGAGTCAAAATGCACTTGACATGAGTAATGATTGACAGTAGAACATTAATCCTTACTATACGATTTTATAATGATAATTTTTTATATTTATCCTAATTACATAGTGGCTTCAAATCAGTCTGCAATGGTGGCTTCAAATCAGTCTGCAATGGTGGCTTCAAATCAGTCTCCAATGGTGGCTTCAAATCAGTCTGCAATGGTGAGCTAATAATGTAAATAAAGTTGAAAGTTTCCGGGAAGTTTTGCTCAAAATTTCAAAAAATTTTCAAAATATTTTTATAGCAATAAACTTCATATTTAGTATATAGTTTTATAAAATTCATTTCTTTGTTTCAAAAGTATGTGTTTTATCATCGTAGTATTTGGGTATTCTTTAAATATTTCAACAAAAAGTATAAAATAATTAAGACCCACAAGCAACAAATGCATATCTTTTAGTCAAATGTTTATTGTTGATTTAAGAATTGCGCATTTTTAAAAACAAAACAACAAAACACTCAAGATGTTATATCGTCAGACCGGAATACCAGTGTCGTATGCGACACTGTGTTTAAATTGAGAAATTTGCATTCAAAGTTTAAATTTAAACAAAACTTCATTATGTAAATTTAATTGCATGTTGAAGTTTAACAAAGTTGCCTAAAATCAAAATGAGTTTTTGTTTAAATTGTTAAAAAAACAAGAAAAAAAAAACTTCCCCTGTAACTAAGAGCACTGTTTTTCAATTACGACAAATGTATTTCGAAATCAGAACATTTTGTCGGAATACAATTGTCATAGATGCAATTAATTTGATAGTAGATGAATTAAGATAAAACTTACATATGTTGTAACTAACAATGACTTATATTTTTAGAATAATTTTAGTTTCACTGTCCATCGCATTTTTTTCCTTTAATTCATTCCCGGTAACCAATTTATCGGCATTATATTTTAAAACATACAGTTTTTAAACTTCAACTTTTTTTAGTTTGTTATTTTAGGTGCCCCAAGAAGTCCTAACGGTTTTGTCACAGAGCACCGCGCACAAAGAATAAATTTTCTGTTTATTCTTTCTCTGAGCGGTAGCTTTTACCAATCTTTCTTGAATTAACGGACCTTTGAACGATCTTTTGAATTTAATATGAAAAGGTAGATGACACATTAGTTTTACTTTTGCAAAAAACACTTTATGAAAATATAAAGACTTGGATGCAAGTTTCAAGTTTTTTTTTTTCGCAGGGTCACTATTCTGTACTGAACTATGACCAGGTTCACTATACTTCTGTTCAATGAGTGCTATTTCGCTTTCATTTCATTTTCAAAATTTTTATTGCCATAGACACAATTCAGTTCTTATACTATGGAACACAAGAATCAGACCGCAAAATGATTTGATTAATTGATATATTAGGACAGTTTTTAATAATTAACTTTAATAGTTTATACAGACAACTTGCAAGTTCATTTGAATCTCTACCAACCATAGGTTCATTCCAAAGTGCACAATAAGTTTTGTTATTCAATAAACAGTGGCCTGTGAAGTTATTGCAATTTAGTTTTCTTTTATAATAGAATGCAGTATTAGCAAATGGAAGGGGAAATCTACATTTGCAACATTAGCCAAGTCACATTTTCTTTCTTGTCTAGTTAATAGCTAGCTCCATATTTGATATATAGAGTATTTTATGGCTTTTGATGCTGATAATCCGATACCAATAGTATTGGAGTCTAACCACCAAATAAAGGAAGAAACTCCTAGATATGTAGCGGAAGACCCTACTAATTCATCTTTTTCTTCTACTATCATTTCTCCTAACAATGAAAAGTAAATATATAATACTTGTGTTGATTATTACTATTTGTTATAATCTTTGTTTAATTGTGTTTAATGTAGGTTTAATGGTAATAGTTGTTTTCCATATTTATAAAGCTTTAATAAAATGAAATTTGTTAGTCATTAGCTTTTAAATTAAAGTTTATACGACCTGTTGAAGATGAATTTTTTTTTCCGATTTGTAAATTTTAAAACAAAAATCAATTAAAAATATAAGTTGCTACACATAAATTGTAAATTGTTTAAACAAACTGATGAAATATTTTTAGAACTATTTTCAATTAGGCTCATATTCCCCGATAAATTTTTAATTTTCATAGTAAAATATTTTTGCGTTCAAAAAAATGACCATATAAAGTTTAAGCAAATTTTATATGGTCATAATTTTTGAACGCTGAGAAATTATACTAAGAAACTTAAGAATTTTAAGTTTCATAGAGTAATTTTATACTTTTTGAACGCTAAAATATTTTACTATGAAATTTAAAAATTTATCGAGGAATATAAGTCTACTGAAAAATAGTCCAAAAAATATTTCATAATAATATATTTTTGATTGAAAGAAAAACATTCTAAGTTAAAATACAATTAAATTTTTTTTTCTTTTAATCAATAATATATTTAGAAGCTCCAGATATGTTATTTAAGGTATAAAACCCCTCAAAAAAAATTTATTAAAAAAATCTTTTTTACCAAAAACCAAGTATATCCTGAGAAACAACTATATAACAGGATTTTAAATAATGCAAAATAAATTTATTAGTTGCCATGGTTACCAAGTATAATGGCAAACATTCAAAAATGTTAATGTTTTTTTCCGATTTGTAAATTTTAAGGCCATCCCGGCCATTCTATCTCAATAAGCAAAACCATACAGGATATGATTTTTTGGCTTATGATCACAACATAGTAATCTACAAACTTAACTAAAATTGTTCTAAAAAACAAAGTCTTTAAGCTATGCTGAGTTTTTCAAAATGGCGTATTTAAAAAAAATGCATTTTTGTGGACTAAATCTTCTGTAACTCAAAAATTCCTAACAGCATTGTAAAACTTTTAGTTCCAATCGTACAACTAGATGCAATAAACATTTGGTGAAAATTTCATACAAATCTGACATACGGTTAATGAGATAGGATGGCCAGGAGGATAAAAATTGACAATTTGAGAAAAAAGCATTTAAATATTACATTACCACTTTTATCAAAAAAAAAATGTCGAATACTCAATTTAAAATCTGTTATTTGTAAGAACAAGAACCAGAATCATATAGACAATCTTCTTAGTCATTCTTTGCGTCATCTTTTTTTTTTTTGCATCCATGAACTTGTCGTCACTTTTTAGATGTTGGTTGATTTTGATACTCTGCAAAAATTAATCGGTTTTTGTTCA